TATTTTCTACTCAAGTAAATGTGAACCAAATCAGATTTTCTGTTCTACTCAAGTAAATATACAAAGCACACAATCAATTTGCTTATCTCATATATATAAAAACCAGAGAGAGATTATGATCTTGATCCAAATCAATCATACAATTTCACAAGTTCATAAATAAATCAATAGGTGAACCAAAACAGATTTTCTTATCTACTCAAGTAAATAACACAAATCACACAATCAATTTGCTTAATTATCTCATCTATATAAATACAAGAGAGTCATTCATACATACCACATCGTTCAATCTGGTCTATCTGGGTGAAGAACTGGCATCAATCTCCTAGCTTCTTGAGCTAGCAAGGCGTCAATGGACATTTGCCCATTGTTACCCCTTCCACGGCCACGGCCACGGCCCATAACTGCAGCAGGAATTCTTCCTCTTCCACGGTAACCACCACCAATTCCACGGCCATCTCCACGGCCATTACCACGTCCACCACCACCAAATCTACGGCTACCACCACGTCCACCAGAGCCAGAACCACCAGATCCAGAACCACCGTTAGGATTCATCTTGCACAAGAGTCCATCGAGAAAACGAGAATAAGTCAGTAGGGAAAAAAAAAAACAGAAACCCTCTGCAAATTTATTTTTACAAATTCACTCTAGGGTTTCTTATAAAAGGAACCAAACTCTTTCAAAATTTAAAAAAGAAAAATCTCAGATTTCAAAACAAATAACGCATAAAAAGTAGATGTTTGAACCACTTGCAAGATTTCTTTTTAAAACATAATATAAGAACGGTAAAATCGAAAAGAAGAAATATGTTTTGAAAACCCAGGCTTACCTTAAAGTTGAAGAAGTAGAAGGCTGAGAAAACGTCAGAGATGGAGGAGAGTGATGACGATAGAGAGAGATCGGAGATGGAGAGTTAAAGATAATATGATCGAAACAGGGTCAGAGACGGAGAGATAGATCGGAGATGGAGCTGAGAGTGGATTAGAGAGAAGCGAGTGAATCGCCGGTGAGAGTGAGATACGAGAGAGGCTGAAGAGAGAAGTTAGAGCTGCTAGAGAAACAAACTAGGGTTTACATATAATCCCTTAGAGCTGCTAGAGAAACAAACTAGGGTTTATATATATATATATAAGCATTTTTCTTTTGGTCAAAAATATATATTCAAAAAGTATATATATTTATTTCGTTGGAGCATTAACAATACATATTCAAAAATATTTTTTGTCTTTTCTATCGAAAACTCAAACAAACTAACGGGGGTGTATTGGTTTAAGAATTTCAAATTCCACCAAAACTTTCAAAGTTCTTAATCCAATACACCCCCCTAAATTTTTTCTATTATGATTTAATAAGATTTTCATAACAATTGACAATAATAAATTCGAAATAATAAAAATAGAAAATACAACTGTTTACGATTAAATCAAATCTTAAATTAGTTTACGAAATCATATCACAACAGTTTTTATACTTGCCAAATCTATATATATATATATATATAATGAGAGAGTTTTCTCTCCATCTAGGGTGTCCACATCAACATCCATGTCATCATAATTTATTTTTTGTGTGCTCCACATATTTTGTATATTAAAGCAATAAACATTAAAACTAAAACTAATTCACACATTAAATAAAAACAATAATTGACAAAAAATAAATGAAATATTATGAAAAAAAACAGAAAATCAAATATACAACTTAAAATATGAAAATTTTGAATAAAAATTGGATAAATATACATAGATAATTATATTTTAACATATAATGAGTAAATATTTTAAAATAGTTAGAGATACGAAAAAAGAAACGTATCATATATTTTAATGGTACAAAATTTATTTTTTAGAGTTACAATTATTTAGTAGAGTAAAGAAAATAAGAGTTAAAAAAATGCCAAATTTAATGGTTTTTACTTAAAATAGAAAGCAATTCATTTCTGAAAAATAAACATATAAAATTTGATTACCGATTAAAAAATAAGAAGGAATTAGAACATATTATTATTTATAAGTATAATATAATATAAATATTTAAATTAATATATTTTCTACATTATTAATGGTGCTTTGTTTTTTTTAATGAATACCTAAAAAAGAAAATTTAAATATTAATCAGTACTTAGGAAATTAACATAGATTGAACAAAACTAAGGTTATTTGAAATAAAACAAAAAAAATATCCTAAACATCACAAATAAAAATAAAATAATATTAAAATAATAAAACTGTGTAATAAGAATATTTGAGAATGCTATTTGGAAATTAAAATATTAATGGTAGATTGAAGATTTTTTCATTACAAATAAGAAGGATTTCGTTTTTTTTTTAAATAAATATATTTTAAAATTAGAATAATTTTTATGAGTTTGTAAGTGTCACATTTTAGAAAAATTAACATTAAGATACTATCTTGAATTATAATATATGTTAAATTATATATGTAGAAAGTGCAAAATTTCACATTGAAATCATATGTTTGTGAATAACAATGAGTCCATATCTGAGATTTGTTTTCTATAAAGGAATTTTAGATGCAAAAAGATGGTAAAAAAAAAAACTTATTACAAACATTTCCTCAAATTTCTGTTTCTAATGTTCACTTTAATAAAAAGATCATGAAACTTATATAAAAAAAAGAGTATTGAATGATATGAAGGAAAAAATAGAAACGATCTAAGGAGAAAAGAGAGTAGATGTCGGGGACAACGAGTGAATCATAGAAGATAACAAGAAAAATTATAGTGAAATTTTTTTACTACTTTGGAAATATAATGCACATGAGTAAAATAAAATCTTTTAAAATTCAATTGATTATATTTATACACAAAAAATAAAAGTTTAAAACTAAATCCCACGCAACGCGCGGGTACACCATCTAGTATAACTCTAATTATAGATTCTTTTTTAAAAAAAAAATCAAGCATATAACTCAAATCTATATTTAATACTTTGATTCGTAAACATATTTTTAAGATTATAATAGTGTGTTAACCTTAAATATTGAAACTGACTTTTTGAACGAGATGGGATGAGAATTCCTAAAAAATGTCGTATAACATATTACAATTAAAATAAAACATTGCTTGCAATCATATATTTAAAATGTTTCTTTCAATTTATCTAGCATAGCATGTGCCAAATAAAAGATTTTGGGACGGGTAAAGTTTATTTCGTGATGGAAATTTTGAAAAATTTGGGTATGTTCTAAAACATTATAGTTAAATATTGAGAAAATAAAGAAAATATAGATAAATTCAACTAATTATGTAAAAATTAAATACCTAAACAAAAATACATAATATACGGATATTCCATTCGAATCCTAGACCTACACGATATACAATCACAAACGAATAAATTAACGCTTATGTGACTAAATGTGTGTGGTAGATATGTGATCATACAGATTTTCTGTCTCAAAATTGATATGTCTATTTTCTCTCTCTTTTTAATTATGTAATTTTCTTTACGGTAACCAAAAAAAAATCCGATTAGTTATTTTGTCTAAACCAAATTGAAATTAAACCGAATACCAAATTGATATGAGGTAGGATAATAAATGTTATACCAAATAAATACATCTACAAACATAACTCCGCACCCAAATCTAGTAACGTTGTAAGCAGAAATTTTGTTTTACTTTTTCACTGTTGCATTGTTTTTTTAACCATTAAAATTATTAATTCAAAATATTTCGAATGAAAGATATATCACTTAATAATAATTCATGGTATACTTATATGAAGAACATAAATTAAAAATATTCATCATAAAGTTGGTGAATAAAACCAAATTGGTGTTTAATTAGACACGTTAAAAATATAAAAATGATAAATCGACTAAATTCTTTAGCCTTCCAAGCTAACCTTGCGGGTTCGATTCTATATACTCGATTGCAATAACTTTATGATCAATCAATAAAAATTGATAAATTCAAAAAATTATAAGCATGATGATATATGAATCTTGTATAATTCAAATATGAACATAGAAATTGAAATAAACAATTTTGAAATAGTATAATTAAATTCAAAATATCAAAAAAAAAGAAGCATATATGTTTCTAAAATATTCAAGAATTTCAAAGAAAACAATATAAAACTTTACATAAAATCATCACATATTTCTAATTAGAAAATAATAGTGATATAAATAATGTAAATTTTTAATTTAAATCCGGACACATGTCGCTATCTTAAATCATTAGAACTATGATATATTATAAATCTTATATAATTTAAACTGAACGTAGAAACCAAAAAAATTAATTTAAAGATACAACAGTTAAACTAAAAATAAAAAATTATAGACACGACGATATGAATCTTGGATAATGTAAATATGAAAAGAGAAATTGAAATAAACAATCTAACTATACTACAATCATAATTTAGGACAGAAAAAAAATAATTAAGTAAAAAAATATTACAAAAAGGAAAAAAATTGATCTCACATATTTCTAATTGAAAAAAATAAACTCAAATAAATAATATGAGGATTAGTTTAATTAAATCATCACATATTTATAATTGAAAAAGAAATTGAGATAAATAATATCAAATTTTAAAATAATATATAATAACATATGTTTCCTTTTTAATAAATTTGCCTGATTTTTTTCTTGTTTAATTGAAATATAAAAACGTATAATTTCTTTTATTATCTTTTGACATTTTTCCACTCATGGAAAATGTTGGAGGGTTTTGCTTAGTTTTAAATTCTTTGTAGAAATATGAATTATTTACAATTATTCTTATAATTATCTTTTACATTTTTAAAATTATTTAAATTTGTAATTACTTTCAATTATCTTCTTTTTTTGTTTTAAAAAGGAAATTTTCTTTTACACGTGTCAAAATCTAAGATTGATAGATTTGCCACGTGTCACGATCATATGAGTTATTAACTTTGAAAACCATACTTTATATAATAAGATTGTATACATTCTCCACCACATTTGACCCTAACTATAATCTTAATGGAAATTCTCTATTTGATAAATCATCTCTTTTATTACACTGAAACATAACCACAAAGATCTTTGCTATATATTACAAGACAAAAGAATGTCGACCAAAGAGGGACAAAGATTATATAATCAGACGATATCTCTACTCGGCCATCAAACAAATACAATCTATAGTTGATACAATCAGTAGTCTATAATCTTATCGAGGCAGGTCTTGACTCCAGAGACTTAATGGAGCCAGAGAGACAGATGCATTGATGCTAGCTAGCTACTAATGATCTCTCGTACAACAAAACAAACAATTGCAAGAACTCTAGCCACTCAGAGAAGAAGAGATTTTGACAAAGGTGAGGAACTAAGGCTCTGTTTTGCGCCACAAGACAAAATGGTGGTTGGCTCCTTAGACCACTTCCATAGTTTAACCGAGACCACTTCCATCACCGGTGAAAAATATGCCCCTGGGACCTATCTGGATCAATCGGATCTCTTGCTCTGCTAAAACTTTGCCCTTTTCTGTAAACCGAACAGAAAAAACAGAATCTAAGCTTTTGAAAGTAAAACATAATTCTATACTCATGAAACAAACAGCATTGGAAGGACTTACGATGGCAAATCATAAAGGTGCAACGAATTGTCATTGGACGCACATAGAAATACTAGCTTGGCTTCTGCATCATGGACGCCACAGAGAGATAGCACACCCTGAAACCAAATAGCCATTGAGAACTCCTTAGTTACATGTAGACTGAACCAAAAGAGAGGGTATATATTTCAACAAAAATGCTAGGAACTGTATGTTCTCTTCTTTGTGAGTCTATGTGACTTCCAAGTTTCCACCTTCAGTAGCAGCCCATGTCTACAAGGGAAAAAAGCCCTGTTATATTCAGGAATAGATCCAGGTCAATAGAATAAAAAAAACATAGCTCATAATGATTCTATACCTGTCTTTGTCCTCCGCTAAGCAAGCCTCCTCTTTCACCAAACAGTGTATGGTAGCCCTAGAAACAAACACCGGTATTGCTCAGAAGAGCTGAAATGCAACAACATAAGAAACTACACAGAAGAGAGATAGAGAGAAACTTGCTCCTTCGTTTTTGTTGATTCAAAAATTTAGAAGGTAATTGATTCTAGCTAGATACATCCAGTCATTTATTAAAGATAATATGTTTGCCTAGTAACAATATCTTCTGTAAGAGAAATTTATCAAAACACGATTCTCTTTATGTTTTATTGGCCAAGAAGCTTAATATCAACTTGACTGATCATAATGGCAACCGAAAAGTCTTACAGACAAGCATATCTTACCGTCTTTTCACCTTGCTTCCACCAAGACAGTAAAGAGCCAACAGAGAAATATAAACTGCAACTCTGTTATTGATTTATATATAGATTTCAAAGTACCAAGCTTTAAGCTGCTAAGCTTGTAAGCAAGAATCTGCACATCATACAAAAGGTTTAGATTACTAGATTATGGAACATTTAGAAAAAAACAACAATTGTGAAATGAGTGTTAGCTAGTAAGAAGTCTGAAATATGACCTGACTACCGAAGAGAGACATCTGACGTTTGCACCGCTAAATGATCTTTCCTATAAAAGAAAATACAAATTACTTGAGCATGACGTATTCAAAGGCAAATCAAAATTTATTTAGTTAAACTCTAAAACATACAAATACGATGAAGTTACTAACTTCCAGTTCGGATTGCAGAGAACGTTTCTGATACACAATCTGACATTGTTGCTTGAGCTAATCCATGTGCTTTATAAACAGGAACTGTTGATCCATATAGAGTTAACCAACTAACACTGACACAGCTAGCATCAATAGACCAAGCACAGGTGCAAGTTGACGGGATAGAGTAAAAAGAATGCAGATTGTTCCAAAAATCTACAAAAGGGATAACGCATAAGCAACACGATACTCTTTGTCTAAAAATAGGACTAGTTAAACTAGTCCCCACATTTCTTCCAGGTTCACAAAATTAGCAAATGTTAATGTTTAGGGTAATCTTATGGAATAGCCAAATAAAACACTCAGATTGAAAGCTTGGTTTGTCCGTAAAGAGGTGTACCTGGCAGTACACATGGTCGACTGGAATGTCAATCAAAATAACCCATGGATTGTCCTGAATGAAGATCACATGCAAGAACTCGATCTGCACCGGCTTCAGTGATCACACGCCCTTGTGTCTGCAAGTAGCAAAAGAAAATATAAGTTAAGCAGAGATTACCAAATAGCTTCAAGTTATATCAAGTCAAAGTAACTAATCTAGATAAGGCTATATAAAACACAATTACCTTCCTATCCAAAATACGGAATCACAGCTGTTACTTTCTTAATTGAAGCTCTTCGGCAAGCATCTACCATAATCAAAAGCTCCATGAGATTCTTCGGCAAGCATTTACCTTAAACTAAATTAAACCAAAAAAAAAAAAAACTGAGAGTGAATTTTCGCAATTGTTAGTAACTTAAACAATTGTAGGTTAATAGTTTGCCGAAGCTGAGTTATATTTATGCTTTTTAATTTAGTGATATGATTTCCAGATCTGAGAGATTTCGTTCTTATTCTCTTAATCTGATACTAGGTCCGGACCCGCACGTACGTGCGGGGTTTTATATTATAAGTTTTTTGTTATCTAAATTATATAATCGAAACATTTGTATTTATTTAGTATGTAATTTAATGGTTGTATTTTTTTTTTTGTTTTGTTAATTAGGTAAAAGAATATATACAATTCAATTAGAAACTTTATTTGAGAATTTTTATAGTGTTTTAAATAGAATTTGGTACAGTGTTTTTTTTTTTGTTTCATTTTTTTGAAAGTTTGAATAGAAATATAAGTAATAATACAATATTTTTGATTTGGTGAAAGATTGGACTGGTTTGGTTTGGTTTTGTTGTAATATATGTAAATTTGTATTATTGGTGTGTAATTTGTAAGATTGAATATTGAGTAATTAAAATAATAGATTATTTTTATAAAAATGTAATATAATATGTTTGGTGCATAAAATATATTGTTTGAGACTTTATGCAATATTAATTAGTGTATATAGATGATTGATCCAACTTAAAAAATTTAGGCCCATGAGTCAAAGAATCAGAGGTAATGTAGACTTGGGCCGCAGAAATTATTATAGACCCATTATGAAATGTTCTTTACTTCAGAGCATGATTCCGTTTTTTTTTAATTTCATTAAAGTTTTTACTCTTTTTTTTTCTTTGGACAGCTAAATATCTAAGACGACATTTTTTGTCTTTTCGGTGGAAAATAAGAAACCCTATATTCTTCAAAGTCTAATGTTCGGTCTGAGAATCTCTGAGAAATTTGTTCAATCATCAACCTATTACGTCAGCGTTTATGATCTTTCCATCTCGAAATCGGAATTCTTTATTGAGGTAATCTTTTTATTTATTCAGATTTAGATTAGAAATTTATCTAAATTTGTCGATTCGATTTAGGATCTTAGAAATTTCGAAATTAAACAGATATATTTGGCAATAACTTTGAAAAACCCAGACTTACATGAGTAAGGATTGCCAATTATAGTCTGAAATTTTGTTTTCAATTAATTTTATCAAAAAATCGCAAATTGATTTGCAGTTTTTTGTTGTGTTTACCAAAAAAATCAATCTATCTTGTTAGATCTGCAAAGCCATAGAGTTTATAGTTTTTATAATTTCATTGTGTAAAGATTGTAACAAAAGATTTTGTCTCCTTAAAAGTTTTAACATTTTACTTGTGTTTAAATGGATTTCAGATTTTTACAAAGATGATGATGTTGCCAATAGAAGACGTTTTACAAAGCTAAGTTCTCTGTTACGATTATTATATAACAATATATGTTTTAAATATATATGGTGCTAATGATAGATAATTCTTTGTTTACAGACCAGACAACATCTTTAAAGAAGGCAAATTTGATGTAGTTTAAAGCCAGTCCAGAATCTGAAAGCACTGATAAAGGTTAGTGAGGTCTTAATGATTCATCTTTAGTGTAATCTAATCCTAATATTTAGCTATTGTTAGTTGTTTATCTTTCTGAATTAGTATACTTGTTATGAAAAACATTGTATTTTCATTGAATGTTCTTAGATTTGACTAAGTTTACCCCTTTTTTTTGTTCAATGTATACAGTGCAAGCATCAGTTCTCGTAAAATTATTATGGATGAATCAGAATTGATATTGCCTATGAAGGGTGAAACATAACTGCATCGATAAAGGTTAGTCATTTGATAAGTTTAAGATCTCTGTTTAGTGCATATAAATTTAAGAGTCTGTTATCTCTTTTTGTTAATATAAAACCCCGCATGTTAAACATACAAAACATTGGTTTATCTATGACACACGATTATTTGTATATAAGAATGATATAGTTACTTACGGATGTATTAGCAAGAATCATTTCGACGGTTTCTCCAGTGTATTGAGTGTATTGAGTCCACGAATGGACAATTTTAACTTGAATTCTCCTTTTGTTTTGAAAGGTTTGACGTCAGCAAGGCTGGAGACTGCTAGCTCAGCTGCCATTTTCTTAGTGGGATTGTGTAGAGAAAAGGTGGAAGCTTGAGAAGGTGAGTTTAACATAACCTTGGATCATATATTTATACTAATCGAAATAGGGCTATCTAACAATCTAGGTGTTAGAGAATTATCAGGGAATATGATAAATGCTATTAGAATATTTAAGGTATATATTTGATATTATGCTAATTTTTGGGTATATTGTGTGTTCTTTTTGGATATAATTTAGAATAAATATGGATTTGAAAAGATTGTATGATTTTAAATATAAAATAAAAAAGGAAGTTAATTGTTTTCGTTTATATGGAAAGATATTTTAAGCAATCGGAAATTATTTAATTACATTTTAATTGATAACATCCCGGAGATTGTGTGTAGATAATAAATTATATGGAGTTGTTCGGATTTGGAAAAGTTTTGTATCTCTGATTTTACTTATATAAATCGCAACTATATATTGATTTTATTAGTTTTGGTAATGACTCATAAATTAAATCGAATAATATTGGAATAAGTTTATCCTTAATCAACGGAATATTTTTGAATCGGGTTGTTTTATAGAATAAATGATTATGAGATTTTTAAGTTGTGCTTGATATGGAAATAGATTTGATTACGTGTTATAATATTGGAATAAGTTTATCCTTAATCAACGGAATATTTTTGAATCGGGTTGTTTTATAGAATAAATGATTATGAGATTTTTAAGTTGTGCTTGATATGGAAATAGATTTGATTACGTGTTATAATATTGGAATAAGTTTATCCTTAATCAACGGAATATTTTAGAATCAGGTTGTTATATAGAATAAATGATTATGCGAATTTTAAGTTGTGCTTGATATGGAAATTGATTTGATTACATGTTATCTAATTAATTTTCTGTTGAATGTTTGTAGATATGGATCATAAAGGCCTGATATTAATAGTGGGCCAATAAACATAAAGCCCATTATGCAACCAATCAAAGGTTCATGTGTATTACCGAAGTTCGCCCGTGATCCGTCTCATTTACCAGATGGATATCCGATTAAATATCCAGGATCCGCGTCCTTTTGAATCCCAAATGTCAATTATACCTCTCGACGAAATTTTTTGTTTTCACTTGAAATACAAAATTTGTAATGGCATTCCTTTGTAATTTTTTACCTTTATTGAGGTTAGTTATTAAAAAATGCTTCCCAATTAATAGAATAGATATAACTCAAGAAACGTTGTCTTTTTTTTTTTTCCGCCAACTCAAAAGACATTGTAATCAGATCTGACATATATTGAAATTTCAGAAACACACGCAAAACTCGTCTCATTATGTAATATTATGGAGTAGCCAAATAAAACATATAAATTGAGAAAATAGCATAGAGAAAGTTTTTGTTTTGTAAAATAGTCATGGACCCACGTTATTAGACGAAGTGAAATACCAAAATTATCTTTTGTTTGTTGCAAGATCAATGATATGCGAAACAGTTTCATGAGATTTTTCAAAATAGCATGTAATATTTAAATTTCACATGTTATATTTAACTAAAAGACATGATATATCAAAAAAATATAGTGAATTTTTAAGAAAAAACATTCTTACGTAGTGTTTTTTTTAAGAAAAAACATTGTTACAGAAAATTTAATCTGAATATAATCTTTTTAAAAAGAAATCACATGTAATCTTAATAAAAATCGTGTATTACTAAAAAATAATCATCTTTTTAAAAAAGAAATCACATGTGATCTTAATAAAACACGTGTATTATTACAAAATAACATGATAAAGAGAGATATTATACTGAATAGAATATTTTTTCCAAAAAATACCATGTGTTGTTTATAAATAACTTGTAATACGAAAAAATACATGATAAAAAGAGGTATATTATGCTTTTTCCAAGAAATACCATGTGTTGTTTATAATTAACGTGTAATACTAAAAAAATACACGATAAAAAGAGATATATTATGCTATCACATGTAAAAAAGCGTGTTACAAAGGACATATATGTAATTACACATGCATTCCAACATGTTACTGTAGCTCATGGTTAGTTTGTTTATTCTTTTGAATCCATGATTACTTTTTATAAATTCTCTATTGTTTATATGTGCAAATCGTGTATTACCAGGAAAGACAACAGATGAGCCTCGCTAACCCCTGTCTGTAGAAAACCCACCACCAACTCCGAATCAACTTCAAGTTCCACCCTCCAAAACCCTCGCTCCCAGGCAATAACTAACCCATAGTACACTCCCCACAATTCCGCGAGAGGGGCTGAACAAATGCCTATATTCAAAGCAAACCCGCCTAACCACTCCCCCTCAACATCACGGATAACTCCACCAGCCGTCGCTAGACCCGGGTTTCCATGCGAGGCCCCATCCGTCGAAAGCTTAACCCACCCCTCACACGGCCGCTTCCATGCAATCATTTGCTCCATCCTCACCCCTGCCCGCAACTCTCCTCGGACCAACAAGTGAGCTTATATAACCTCCGCTTCCATATCTTTCAAGAACTGTACTCTATCCCGGCACTTCCACTGTTCCCCAAACACATTACCACAACGCCACTCCCCACCAAATCGCAACACTAAATAGGGTAGCCCAATCTAACTCTCCCGGATTTGAACGTGCTCTTAAATTATCATAGACCCACTCCAACAAATCCTTCTCGAAAAAAGCATTCCATCTTCGTGGAGGCACTAACCTCAGCCAAACTCCGGCCATTGCGGGACAATATAATCTCGCAAAACGTGGATGATCGTCTCCGTTGCTCCTCGGCACACCTGACAGACCTCCATGTCTCCTATATAACGCCGCACCCTCTCCGTATTTGTCATTATGACTTGATTGCCAACAAGCCATAAAAGCACTAGGACTCTCTCGGGCACCACCGCAGTCCAAACTTGTTTAAAAACAACTCCATACACGGTCGCGGAGTATCATCATGTGTTAACAATGCGTGAACTGACCGCACACTAAAACTTCCATCAGAATTCCCAAGCCATGACAACTTGTCCCCAACTCCCGGAACACCTCTGATCACTACCGCATACAATCTTTGTTTCTTTTCCTCGGGTAAGTATGAACCAATTCTCGCCATGTCCCAACCCTACCCCATCAAGCCAATACTCCTCCACCCTCTTACCAGCCTCTTCCAATGGTAAATTGCACAAAGCCTATGATATAAGCGGCTTATCGATCAACCAAACATCCGACCAGAACCGTATTGACCTCCCATCACCTACCCAGCCCAAACCGTGTGACACAACTTCCCGCAAGCCAAGTCCCACACTACGCCATGTTGAAGACCAATTACTCTTGGGAACCAACCATGACTTGTCATGAGCATCACCGACTTTATACTTACTTCTCAGCACCCTTGCCCATAAACTCTTATCGTCACCAAGCAGTCTCCAGCCCACTTTAGCAAGAAGAGCTTTATTCATGTCCCATGATTTTCTTAAACCCAACCCGCCCTCAGCTTTAGGTCTACACACCTTCTTCCATGATAATAGATGAATCTTCCTTCTTTCAACAGTACCACCCCACAAAAAGCTTCTGGCCAACTTATCCAAGTTCTCCAAAATTGACGCAGGCAAAGAGATAGAGCTCATCGAATGGACTGGGATCGAGGCTAGTACAGATTTTGTTAAAGTAATCCTACCAACCAAGCTCAAAGTCCTACTTTTCCACCCCGCCAATCTTGACGCTACCTTCTCTAACACCTCACCATACGTCTCTTTATTCATTCTTTTTTTGCAGAATCGGCATCCCTAAGTACTTGCCCAATTCTCTTGTTGAACCAATCCCACTCTCGGCAAAGATCAACCCTTCCATGTCTCGACTCATATTGCTTGAGAAATTTTTTTTTGAATTTTCCAAGCTTACTTTCTGTCCCGATGCTAAGCAAAACTTCTCCAACACCCTCCAGATAACCTGTGCTACGGAAGCTTCCGCAAAGAGAATAAGATCATCCGAAAAACACACATGAGACAGCTTCGGACCACCTCTTGAGAGACTTATCGGTTTCCAACTCCCCCGACCTACCTCCACATCAATGAGGTGACACAATCTCTCCAAACATAAGACAAACAAATAAGGCGAGAGAGGATCCCCTTGCCGAAACCCCCGAGCCGGTTGAAACGCCTCTGTTTTCTCTCCATTCCACAAGAGACTCATTGACGGATTAGACACACACTCTAAGATCCACCCTGTCCACTCCTCGGATAATATTGTTGATGTAACTAGTTTGTTATGTGTTTGTATATCGGTTAAGAGTAAAATATATGTAAGTGTTACTTTGTATTATTGGTCGTACATTGACCTTAATTTTAATTGTGTACCTTTATTCCAAGTTTTTTTGGTACCGGTTCCTCGAGACCGAAGAAAAGAACTAGTAGAATTACAACTTTAGTTTTATTACATGTTGGCTTCTTGTTTGGTACGTTATATATAGTGAAAAGTATCATTCACTACCATCTTCGCGGGTTAACCAAGAGAATAATCATTCTTCTTCAGAACTTTCGGAATTTTCTGAATCCGACATCTCTAGATCGGTATCATGATCTGAAGAATCTTCACATAGTGGATCTTCGGGAATGTCTTCAAGCTCTCCTCTAGGTAAAACAAGAGAACTTACATTCAATGCATTGACTGTCGCGGAGTTTTGATGGTCGTTGTTTTCTTCCTGCATTGCTGTTCGTTGTACGTTGATTTCTTCAAGTATTCCTCTCGGATAGACTTTCACTACGACCAACCATTCTTTTTTACGTCGTTTTAAACATGGATATGGCAAAAAACAAACTTGATCTGCCTGCGTTGTTAAAACGAATGGATCATACTTCTCATACACACCAGATGCACAAACCTCAACAACACCTTGTTTAAGCATTCTAGTCCCAACTCCCAAAGTCGTATCAAACCAATCACATCAAAATAATGTAACTTTCAATCCAACAGCTCCATGATATGCAATCTGAATGATTTGTTGTAGTTTTCCATAGTAAGTTTCATCGTATTTAGAGCTTCCACGCACACAAACACCGTAGTTAGCCGTAGTTTTGTTTACGACATGACTAACTGTATGAAAGTTATAACCTCGTGAAAAATATGCATTCCAACATGTGCACCGTCTTATTGGACCTCTCACAAGCTCTTGTAACCATAAAGGATACAAAGTATTCGTGTAGTCACTTTGAACCTGCATGCACGCGTTTTATGTGATGATAATTATGTCATTATATAATAATTCATCTTAACTACCGAGTTATAAATAATCATAAATTTTAGAATTTGTAGCTAAAACTTACCAAATTATATAACCAACTTCAATAATCTCTTTCTCTCATAGTCGTTAACAAATCTTCGGTGATGCCAACATATCTTTCTCTTGCTTCGTTATCAAATAACCTGAATTTTTTTTTATCAAAACTAAAAATACCATATATATATATATATATATATATATATATATATATATATATATAATCTCATTTTATGTCTAGCTATATATGTATGTAAGTGTTTAATTTACCATTCAAATGGTTCCAATTCTTCACAATTACGCAAAATATATGTGTGAGCGATGTGGTTGTCATCATCGGTTAACCACTCATAATATAATTTTCCACTTCCACTTCCGACATGTCTAAACATTGTCGGTACATCGTCATACGAGTAGATGTATTGTTGAGCAAAACCACTAGCATGTCGTCTTTGAGCACTGCTTGACACAATAGCCGCTTCAGGATTAAAGTGGTGAGAGCTAAAATTTGTAATTTCTTCATTTATAAATTGCTCGACAATTGACCCTTCAACACTTGCTTTGTTATTCGCCTTTTTCTTAAGATGAAACATGAATCGTTTGAATGGATACATCCATCGAAACTGCACCGGTCCACAAAGTTCTGCTTCTAATGGTAAGTGAATAGTCAAATGCTCCATGACATTAAAAAAAGATGGCGGAAATATCTTCTCGAGATTGCAAAGTGTCTGAGCTATATTAATCTTTAAATGATCAACATCATTGATTTTCAAATTTCTTGAACAAAGATCGCGGAAGGATATTCCTACATCTGCAAAATATCAAATACTTAGTTTATTATACTGATAAATAACTATATAACTACACTTGGCAAAATTAATACAGTTTATCTGAGATTGCTTCATGGACTTCTTTGGGAAAGAGTTTAGAGAATGCAAAAGGAAATAGTCACAGCATAATGACGTGACAGTCATGACTTTTCAAACCATATATTTTGCATACTTGATCAATGTGTATGCATTGTCCTATGTTAGACACGTACCCATCTGGAAATTTTACCACATCTTTAACCATTTGAGAAATCCCATTTTTGCATTAGGAGACAGCCTGAATATCCACTACAAAAAATGTGTGTATTGATAGAGCACTACACCATAGCGCGGATTCCGTAATTGCTATTATAGATGGTACCCGGAATTTTGTAACTATATCACAGCATTTTTGAAACGCTAAGACGAATAACAGCAAAGCGGGAAGCAAAAATACTTGTGACCGCCAACAATTTCCCAAAATATTAGATTTAACGCCCACCACTTAACGAAAAAACAAAAAAAACTCTTCTGACTTAGGTCATAACACTTAACTTCTAATTTTTTTTTCTAAGTCTTCACTCGTCGTCTTCTTCTCTAGAAAAGCTTCTCTAATCTCTAAATCCACACCACTTCCTAGCCACATACCTTTTCCGTTGACATGGCCTCGTCTCCTCCGTCTTCCACCGTATTCTGCCGTTAAAGGTACCATCACATTCCTCCTCGTCTTCTCTTCACATCTTCTTTTTCTCCCTCCCTTCTCGTCTTCACTTCTTGAGCCTTATGGATTGAATCGATGTGTCAAAGAGATGAATTCGAACAAGATAAATTGAATCGGTAAGGAGATCGGAAACGAGATGGTGGTGACAAGAAGGAGAAGAAGTTCGAACGAGCCGCACCACCTGCTCGTGTTGGGAGGAAGCAACATAAGCAGAAAGGACTTGAAGCGGCGGCTAGATTCCGACCGTGACTCCTACTAAATGAAAGCTTTGATTGCTTAAACTGAAGCGATTAGTACACAAATGATTGGGTCATGACCCTCTATTTCCCTGATTCGGATAAGTTCATTCATCTTTCTTGATTAGGTTGTTGAAAATTTATGTGTGCTTTGATTTGTTGTTTTGAAATTGATTTTATTCATTGTACTTCTAAGAGGTTATGTTTTTAGAGTTCTCTGTGCACACAAGGTGTTTGACGAATTGACTGTGAGACAGAAACTAAGAAACGACTCTCTCAACATGTCAACCTATGATGATCTTTCATGTTTGCTAATTGATTGTAAAAATTACCTTTGCTTTTGTAGTATAAAATGGTGGACTATATCCTTGGAGTTTCTGATCCTATGAAACAGCACTTTGAGGTGAGCAATATCTTTTGACTGTAATTCTTAGTTCATTAGCTATTTAAAGCCAAAGAATTAGAAAATGAATTCAGATCACTATGCTTCATGGATGGTTCACTTTGTGGAGCAATGCTGGTATACTTCTCTCCATATTCCATATTCCATATTCTTGCATTGTTTATACGGCTTAATCAAATACTGAACATGACATAAGTTGATGATGATGTCTCGATGTTCTTGAGTGTTGTGTTTTTTTTGTGGGTTAAAAACATATCAAAAGCTTTCTCGAGAAAGTCAAACCATTCCGTTTAGATACACCACTTGAAAATAGAAAGTGCATCATCTTTCAAGTAAGTCTAGATTTGGTTTCATTTCTCTAGTCCACATCACTTATTTGTACAAGCCAATGTTTAGATTGGTGATAAAACAGATTTGTTTCTTAAGCATTAATTAATGTTCATGTATTTGTTTGACAGGACGAATATGAAGGCACATGATTAGATTAAAAATATGTTCACCATGTACTTCTAACACTAGTTAATTTCTTAATTTCCCATTGTATCTTCTTCACATGACATGTTTAGGAAGAAGAAATGAAAAATAAAAAATGTTTGTTCTTTTCAATTTCTCATACACATGCTTACATGGATTAGGAACATGAATGCTATCGAGAAGATGAAACACATAGAGAAGACGAGACTGAAGTTTGTCTTTATTATGTTAGTTTTATTTTGTTTAAAACTTGCTATTTCACGTGACATGTTTAGGAAGAAGAAATGAAAAATGAAAAATGTTTGTTCTTTTCATATGTTGATGATTTACGAAATATAAAAATTATATTATAAATCTAATTAATTTATTTTGCAAAACAGGTTTCAAATGCAATAATTATATATAAATCTATCAAATACAACATTGTTATAATATGGTATAAAATAACACTAAACTTGTGCTATATTATAGTATATTAGAGCATTCTATTACCGCTATAATTGAACGATGTATAATAGCATTTCGGAAAACGCTATCATATGGGTGACATCTACCATAGCTGCCGATGTCATAACATTTGTGAATTCGCTATGTTATATGTATGATAGCATATTTTTTCGCGCTAACGATGAACATATTTCTTGTAGTGATCGGAACTGGGGCCTTTCCAAACGATGTAAGATGTAAACTTTTTCGATCACAATACAACATGAGATCTTTCCTTGAGTTTATTGAATCTTTTGTTTTTCCTGTGATATTTAACAAAGTGTTTATCAAGTTATCAAAAAAAAAAATTCTCGATATGCATCACATCAATAATATGCCGAATCAGATGTGTCTTCCAATATGGCAACTCCCAAAAGATGCTATGCTTGTGCCAGTGGTGCGTCTCGCCATATCCTTCGATACCATCATTTACATGACTGTTTCCACCGCAATCCACTGTTTTCTTCACTCCATAAAAATAAGCAAGATTTTCCAAAATTTCTTCTCCTGACATAAAATATGGTGGGTTCTTGTTGACAATATTACCCTTTCGAAAAGACCTTTTGTTTTGGCGAAAAACATGATCTGGTGGTAAAAATCTTCAATGACAATCAAACCAACTAGATTTGCGACCATTCTTCAATTGGAAAGCATCGGTTTAATCCATACAATATGGACATGACATTCTTCCATGAGTTTTCCACCCAGATAGCATCCCATATCCTTGAAAATCACTTATAGTCCACATTAACACAGCTTTCAAATTGAAATTTTGCTTCACTGAAACATCAAATGCATCAACGCCATTTATCCAGAGTTCCTGCAATTCTTCAATCAGTGGTCGTAAAAATACATCCAAACTCCGTTTTGGATGGTTTCGCCCTGGCACTAGTATGGTAAGATATAAATATTCTCTTTTCATACACATATATAGCGGGAGATTATACTGAGTAAGAATCATGGGCCAAAGAGAATAGTTACCACCTGACGATCCAAATGGTTTAAAACCATCAGTGCATAGCCCTAGATAAACATTCCTGCTTTTGGATGCAAACTCAGGATAAAGCAGTTGGCTGTTGCATAACTCCATCATGGCATGTATGTTCTGCGTGCCAACTCATATGTGGTGCTGTCTTTTCGGATAAATACAATCTTTTCAGCCGATATGATAATTGCAGATAGAACATCCTCTTGTATGGAATACGCTTTCTAGAAGAAACCTTCTTTGTCTTCTCAGGATTGTACCTTGGATGCTCACAAAATTTGCAACTTATTAAAGTTTCATCAGGTTCACCCCAATAAATCATGCAATTATTTTGGCATACATTAATCCTGTGGTACGACATACTCAATGTCCGCATCAACTTCTCTATTTCATAATAAGTTCTACGAGCAACATTACCTTTTGGAAGAACCTTATGAAACAAGTGTACAACATCATCGATACACGCTTCTGCTTGATTGTGTGTGGTCTTAATATGCATCATATCAGCAGCCGACGAAAATTTTGACTAGCTTTCAACGCAATTATCATAAAGAGGTTCACTTGCTGTATTTAACCGGTTGAAAAAATTTGCAGCCTCAGGATTAGGGGCTTCCCAAGCATTATCTTCAACCGCGGGTTCATAAAATTGTTCAGCGCTTCCACTTGTCAGCAAACTAAATAAAACAATTAAAACTTAATTAAATTATATAATACTAACAAATTTTATCGGTATTTGTTTATGTTTTGTTTGAATATATTTTTCTAATAAGTATTGTTATATCTTTAATGAATTTTATTAGTTTCTGTATGTATTAACTAAATATTTCAAATTTTTATCATTTTCAACAAGGAGATGAGATATATATATTGGCATACATAAATAATATTATCATTTATTTTATATATTAACACATGAAATTAAAAATTTATATAAGATAACATATATATATATATATATATATATGACAAAATTAAATTAATATTTCATTTAACCAATTTTTATCGGTATTTAATTTAATTTATTTTTGTTTAAACATATTTTTCTCATAATTTTTTTTTGAATTTCTTTTTTTTTGTTGTATGGACTAAGATACCAAATTTTATGTATAGACCTAATTAAATTTTATCGGTATTTAATATATTTTATTTTTGTTTAAATTGATTTATCTAATATTTTTTTAATTTCCTTTTTTGTATGGACTAAGATACCAAATTTTATGTATGGAATAAATATTTCAATTAACAAATTTTTACCGGTATTTAATGTTTTTTATTTTTGTTTGAACAGAATTTTGTAATAAGTTTTTTTTTTTGAATTTTCTTTTTTGTATGGACTTAATTAATTAAATTATATAATACTAACAAATTTTATCTTTATTTGTTTTTGTTTTGCGTGAATAGATTTTTCTATTAAGTATTGTTATTTCTTTAATGAATATTATTTATTTTGGTATGGACTGATTAAATATTCTAAATTTTTATATCTTTTCCAACAAGTAGATAATATATATATATATCCATAATATTAACTTTTATTTTATATATTGACACATGAAATTAACAATTTCTGTTAGATGACATATATATATATATATATTTATGAAAAATTGAATTAATATTTAATTAACCAAATTTTATCGGTATTTATTATTTTATTTTATATTTGAACAGATTTTTCTAATAAGATTTTTTTTTTTGTATTTATTTTTTTTGTATATAAAAATTTTATAACATTTTCAACGAGTATATTGTTGGTGTCGGATCCCGCACCAGAAGTACGAGACCAACCAAAGATTGCCACGTAATCAAGATAATGGCCCATAAAGGATGAAGCCCACTGGACCCGTGAGCCGAAGGGACGGTCGAAGTGGTTGTCACTATTTTGAGAATCCGAAGTGACTGTACTGAGGCACGAGTTCGGTGTAGAGGACACGGGTAAGTCGGTTTAAAGATACTTGGGCCAAAAGGGGCGAGGCCCATGAAGATCAGAGTCAACTCAAATTCAAACGTTGAGCATTAAAGTCGAAGAATCAAAACGGACACATTTAAGAAGGAATAATTGTACTTAATTATTCATTTTAATGTCGTTTCTCTATGTATAAATATGGGGGCCAATGGCCATGTAAGGGGATGATCCTCTCAAGAAAGAAATAATATAGCAATTTTCGTAGCAGTTTATAAAGTTTTTACGTATTCATTTTTGCCCCTCAAGAATAATCTTTCCTACTTAATAAAATACTTGAGTGTGTGAATCCGACATCCACATTTTGGCGCCGTCTGTGGGGAGATTAGGTTCTTGAGTGGTCAGATTTTTTCTTTATCACACTTCCGAGATAAGCAACAATGTCCGGAGGAGACGCTGCTGAGACGTCATTGGCCGAAACCCTCAAAGCTATGCAGCAAACCATGGTGGACATATCACAAAAGTTCTCGGATGTAGAAAAGGCCGTCGATACGTTGCAAACATCCCAGGTATCTCTTAGTCAAAACGTCAATACTATACAAACTCGTGTTCGCTCTTTAAGTGCAGGAAACCCGGTGGGAATCCGAAGAGGGATATTCAACTCGCCAAGTTCCGCTGCACGAAATGAAACCAGCGGACAAACAACTCCCGGTGCTACTAATACTGTAGCTCAGACGTTGGAAGAAGAGACGCAGCTCGGGGATGAAGAACAACTTGCAGCTCATTACGAGCAGGAGAACCTCGACCAGTTCGAGACCATGAGGAAGGTTAGCCAGGAATTAAAAAAAATGAAATCAAAATTTCATCAAGCTACAAGTTCGGAGCCAGACATCAATCGAGTCATTGAAGAAGCTAGGCGAACACCTTTCATCTCGCGAATTGCAAGTTTGAGGATCAAAGATTCCCGGAAACTCAAGTTGGACCCTTACAGCGGATTGGAGGATCCAAAAAGCTATCTCGCAGCTTTTCTGATCGCTGCTGGAAGAGTCGAGTTGGATGAAGCTGATGAAGACGCAGGCTACTGCAAGCTTTTTTCGGAGAATCTATGTGGCCAAGCTCTAATGTGGTTCACCCAATTAGAGCCAGGTTCGATCAATAATTTCGACGAACTGTCAGCCGTATTCTTAAAACAATATTCCATCCTTATGGATAAAAGCGTCTTGGATGCCGATCTTTGGAACTTATCGTAAGGGTCAAGTGAGTCACTTCGAGTTTTCATCACCAAGTTCAAAGGAGTGCTGTCAAAGCTCCCAAGAATCTCGCAGCAATCAGCTTTATCTGCCCTACGAAAAGGACTGCGACATGATTCAAGGTTTAAAGAAGACTTAATACTTCACAAACCGGACACAATTCAGGATGCACTCTTCCGCGCGAACAACTGGATGGAGGTAGAGGACGAAAAAGAAAGTTTTGCCAAAAGAAATAAGCAAGAAAAGCCGGCGATCACCATCCCTACCAAGAAGTTCGAGCCTAGGGAGAGCAAAGGACCAAGAAAATTTGGGTCACAACCCTTCAACAATACCGTCGGGAAGCAATTCCAAGGGAAAGGAAGATTGTGGAAGTCGAAACTAACACAATCAAGATTTGTCTAGGGTTTTATTTTAGGGATACGATAATCGTGAATTCTCAAAGAACAACAGAAACGATTGATACCAAAGATGGTGTTCTTGATATTATTAATGAAAAGATGATTCTGATCGTACAAGAGTTTGATCGTAAAAGAAAAAGGTGTTTGTGCTGTGAGAGCTTTGCGTAGTGTAATTTCTAGAGCGATATTGCTTGCCTTCTGCGAGAGCCTTGAGTCTCTTTATATAGGGGTGATGAACCGCCTCTCCAGCGATATTCTCGGAAGATTTCCATTTATCTTGAAGTCG